CCCAAATAAAAACTTTAGTATCATAATAGCTTGTAGACATTTTCTGTCTGGCATATTAAATTAATGTCTACCATTTACAAAAATAAAATTCACCCTTCACTTTGATTTTTTTTTTCCCCCAGACAGAGTCTCACTCTGTTGCCCAGGCTGGAGTGAGTGCAGTGGTGTGATCTCAGCTCACTGCAGCCTCTACCTCTTGGGTTCAAGTGATTCTCATGCCTCAGCATCCTGAGTAGCTAGGATTACAGGCATGTGCCACCATTTAATACGACTTTAAGAAACAAATATAATTCACTTAGTTATATATGTCTGTGCGGACCTGAGTTCCCATTCAAAGAAAGTAGCCTGTTACAGGTAACTTTGTTTGTGTGTCCTGATGTATAGTATATTTATTTTAGCAACATTTATAATCTATAATAGATACTATGTGCAAATTGATAACATTTTTAAGTGCTTCCCAAATCCCACACACTGCTATTCCACTCTCCCTTGTCAAGTATTGTTAAAATTAATTCAAAGTTGTATCACCACCCCAGAAATATACTGATTAGACCCCCAACTATGGGCTTTATGGTAGTGGGCTTGATATTCTAAAAAGAGAGGAACATTGATAAGTCGTACTTTTATTCTTCTGGGAAATTCTTTTTTGCTTAATTATCTTGTAAGTTCACGTCAGTTTCTTGTTCCTCGGGTAACAGAGGAAGTTCCTAAGTTGTCAGGAGATTGCATGTCCCCACACACTAAAATCCTCTGAGCTGGATGATTCAGCTTTCACTATTGCTGTGTCTGTGGACCAAAAAGCAAAATGTGAGTCAATTCCAGGTTCCGTCACCTTTGGGAGTTGCCACGTAAAGGAAAACATAGAAGATTAATGTTATTATTCTGATTTTATGTTGTTTTTTGTTGTTGTTGTTTTGTTTTTTTATTTTTTGTTTTTTTTGTTTTTTTTGTTTTTTGAGACGGAGTTTCGCTCTGTCGCCCAGGCTGGAGTGCAGTGGTGTGATCTCGGCTCACTGCAAGCTCCGCCTCCCGGGTTCACACCATTCTCCTGCCTCAGCCGCCCGAGTAGCTGGGACTACAGGTGCCCGCTACCACGCCCGGCTAATTTTTTGTATGTTTAGTAGAGACGGGGTTTCACCGTGTTGGCCAGGATGGTCTCCATCTCCTGACTTTGTGATCCACCCGCCTTGGCCTCCCAAAGTGCTGGGATTACAGGCGTGGGCCACTGCGCCGGGCCGATTTTATTTTGTTTTGAGGAGAAGCGTGAGAAATGGCTACCATACAAATCAAGAAATTCATAAAGGCAAACAGTTGATGACTGTCACTTAAGAATCTGTTATTTTCTTTTATCCTTTCCCCAAGACATATGCCCTCTAACATAAGCATTAAAATCAAATTATATAATTCTGAAAAAACCTGTTCTCAAAGCTTTAGGGTAAAAATTGTTTAATCAAATTGTAACACAAATTGAGAAATATCATTAAAGTGATAATGCCATCCTGTAAGAATTGCTAAATCTACTTGAAGTTTGTGTTTGATTCACTCTATTCAGAATTGCTTACATCTGCAAATTACTGATATCAGTAAAGTTAATTGAACACCCACTCTGTGTCGGGTTTTAGAGTCATAAATAGAATGTAGATTCTATTCCTGAGGAGTAAAATATAATGGAGGAAGCAGACATGTAACCAGTAACTTCAACCAAAGAATAATCAGAAAACACTCTGAGTGAAAGGGCAATGGGAAACACAGATTTATTTGTTTATTAATTCATGCAGGAACATCTCATTTTTATGTCAAGTTTGACATTTCAACTGGAAAGAGCTGGAATAACTTTGGAGAAGTAGTTCTTTGGGAAGGTAATACACATTTATCCTTTGGAGTTTTTATGCAGGTCACAAAGAGGCTTTATCCAGCTTGGTGCATTTTAAAGAAATATTGTTTAGGGAAGTTTCTGAAATGCCCCTTTACAGCTCTTTTGGAAATAGTCTACACTGGCTGTGATTTTTGCACAAAGAACATTGAAGATAATTCAGGCAAAAAGAGCAGAAAGATCTGCACGTAGGAATCAACCACAGGTACAGTAGTGTTAAAGTGGGCCTGCATCATACACCCATTGAGAGGTGTGGAATAAAGCAGTGTTGAAGAGCTGACCTTGGAAATGATACATGTGTGGGGAATTCATTCTTTATTTAACTCATAAATTAGTCAAAGAAGAATTATTGGCAAGACTGTGACTTGAAGTTTTGTATTGATGAAAAAAGAAGGAGGGGAGGAAATCTGGTGAACCAGATCCAGGAAGAAGAGAAGAGAATAAATATATGTATGTTTTAGTTTCTTGTCACAGAAGGAGGAACACGGGTCACAGCAACCTTTCTCACAAGTAGGTAGGTCCCTCTTATGCAATTTAAGTAATGAAACAAATATTAAATCTCTTCTCTGTGCAGGGTGCTGTGGTCAGCATCATGAGTAATACCAGAAGGAGGAAAGGTTAGCCCTTCCCCCAAGGGACGAGGCTTATTTTTTTACCAGAAGATAAGATGTGTATACATGTAACAGCAATGCAGGGAAAGATATATTAATATTTATAATAAAGATGCAAATAGAGCTAGAGGGAGCTTAGAGGAATACATTTATTCTAACAAGGGTTATGGCAGAATTTATGTGAAAGTCTTCTTTGGGCTAAGTGATAATCGGAAATTCTATCGGCATGCATGGAAAGGAAAGACACTCCAAATTAAAGAAATATAAAATGTCTGGGTGTGATGGGTTCATGCCCATAGTCCCAGCACTTGGGGAGGCCAAGACAGGAGGATGACTTAAGGCCAGGAGTTTGAGGCCAGCCTGGACAACACAATGAGACCCTGTCTCTACAATAAAATAAAAATAAATAAATAGCCAGGTGTGTTGGCATGCACCTGTAGTCTCAGCTACTTGGGAAGCTGAGGCAGGAGGATCACTTGAGCTCAGAAGGTCGAGGTTACAGTGAGCTATGATCATGACACTGCACTCCAGCCTGGGCAGCAGAGCAAGACCCTGACTCAAAATAAAAAAGAAAAAGTATGAAAAGAAGAAAGTATGGAACATAGTTGGGGAAAAGCAAATAGCCGTATCTGAGCACAGTAGACTCATGATGCTCTCTTCTACTATAACTGCCTTTACTTTTCTCATAAAAGTTGAAAAATACCATTTTGCCATGTGTGCATTAATTTGCTAGGGTTATTGTAACAAAGTAGCAGAGAATGGAAGTCCTAAACAACAGAAACTTACTGCTTCACAGTTCTGGAGGCAGGATTGGCTCCTCCTCGCAGCTGTGAAGGAGAATCTGTTCCATGTCTGCCTCCTGCCTTCTGGGGGCTGCTGGCAATCTTTGTAGTTCCTTGGGTTGTGGATGAATCTCTCTTCTGCCTTCGTCTTCATATGGCGTTCTCCCTATGTTCTCCCTATGTCTCTGTGTCCAAATGTCCCCTTTTTTTATTTTTTTATTTTATTTATTTTATTTTTTAAGATGTAGTCTCACCCTGTCACCCAGGCTAGAGTGTAGTGGTGCGATCTTGGCTCACTGCAAGCTCTGCCTCCCGGGTTCATTCTCCAGCCTCAGCCTCCCAAGTAGCTGGGACTACAGGCACCCACCATCACGCCTGGTTAATTTTTTGTATTTTTAGTAGAGACGGGGTTTCACCGTGTTAGCCAGGATGGTCTCTATCTCCTGACCTCACCTGCCTCGGCCTCCCAAAGTGCTAGGATTACAGGTGTGAGCCACCATGCCCGGCCCAAATGTCCCCTTCTTATAAGAACACTAGTGATATTGGATTAAGGCCACTCTAATGGCCTCATTTTAAGGTGATTGCCTCTATGAAGACCCTATCTTTATAGGAAAGGGAAAATTAACCCGTATGAGGATATAAAGAAGAGAAAATGACTTTTAGGCCGGCAAATAGATTCACTATATATATATATATATATATATATATATACATACACACACACACATATGTATTTATCAAATAGCCTTGATGTTCAACATAAAGAATAGAGACATAATTCTAGGCAATGGAGTTCCATGGCCAATGTGTACAAGATGATAAAATTACCTTGGAATACTAAGTAAGCTTTTATATACAACTGAGATGCAAAGTTGTAAAACAAATGATAAAGGTAGATAAGATTGAAATTAAAGAGAAGAATTAAATATCATAAGTCTGATGAGGAACTTGGATGTCAAGGAGAATGGTTATCATTTATTTAGATTATTTTAATTTGTTTTTTAATAAATTACTAAATTATTTTATATTTATATATTATAATTATATGTGAATTATAAATAATTCATGATATACAAGTAAATTGTAATAAATACAAACAATAATATATATTATATATAGTGAACACGCAATAAAATATAATAAACATGCATTATTATAATTTATAATTATGTTATTACATTCTAAATATTTAGAAAATTATTTGTAAATGATTCATTTATGGGATAGAAGGAAAATTTTACTGACAGAAAGGATACTTTCCTTTAAAATCCAAAAGATGGAAAGGTTCCTGAACACAGCAGGGTCATCCCATGGCTAGGAGGACAGACCAGTTCCCCAATCCACATCATACGAGGAGCTGAAGCCCTGTTTTCAAACACTGTCTCCTGGGTTGGATTGGCTGTCTCCATTTCACCAACTTCTTGAAACTTAACACCTAGAAAAAAATGTTGCTCCCTCTCAGCACTGCCCCATCTCACTCCCCACACATGTGTGTATTTACATACACACACAGACATGCACAGACATGTGCCCCCACACATGTGTGCGTGTAGACACACACACACAGAGGCATGCACCCACACACATGTGCATGAACACACACACAAAGGCATGCACCCCCACACACGTGTGCATGTACACACACACAAAGGCATGCACCCCCACACACATGTGCATGAACACACACACAAAGGCATGCACCCCCACACACATGTGCATGAACACACACAAAGGCATGCACCCACACACACGTGCATGAACACACACACAAAGGCATGCACAAATGCACATGCCTTATGCTACATGCATTGAAATGCTAAAGGGCTACATACAAAAAAAACTGGATTTGTCATCATAAATAGTTTTTGGAAAAGTAGGAAAAGCAGAAGGATATTTTTTCAACTTTTATAAGAACAGCAAAGGCAACGTGTGGTAGTAGAAGGAACATAGACTTTGGAGTCTGGCAGTCAGCCTTGTGCTGAGCTCCACAAACAATTTTCTGGGTAACTGTGGACAAATGAACTAACCGTACAAACTTTGGTTAACATTTATGTAAGGTGGGGATAAATATGTCATATAGCTATTTGGAGGACTAGATGAAATGAGTTATATAAAGAATACAGTAAGTTGCATATGCCTTTCATTATTCTGATTTTTAATTTTAATAACCAGAAGGATTCCAGACATTTCTCCCAGTAGATTTAAACATATGCTTATGCACAGACTGACTTGCTATTTTACTCATGAGTCTAAAAAAAATTAGCTGTATAATAAAAAAATCAGAATGTCTACACGGAAAAACACACGGCTATTGTGGGCCTGTGATCATTCTCAGCAGAACCGGCAGCTATTGTTTGGGTAAAGTTTCCTTCAGTCATTTTGCAAACCTCAGTGTTCCGAATTATGAGCTAACTGTTTTAGAAGTGAATAAAATCTACACTTTCAAGTGAATATACCAGTGTTAGAAGGAAACATAAGGAACAATTCTAAACTTCTTACACAGATGCACGGTATTGGGCCTGCAGAGACATACAATAGCAAGAAAGCAATGGTTTTGAAATAGGATGTAAATAAAACATCCTTCTTTTCTTCATTGCTTTTGTAGTTCTTTTGTACTCCATAATTCCAATAGACATTTTCTGGGCAAGAGAGTTTGTCAGCAATTATTCTGTTGAGGATCTGGAAAAAAAAAAAAAAAACAACAATAATTAAATACCTTCACTTATCCTACTTTATCCCTGACTCTGTAGCTAAACTTAAGCATGGATTGAAAATAAACATACCTTGAGATAGTTTAATATAGAAGAGTATTGGGCCTTGGCCTTGAAACAATCTTTCAGACTACGATTCAGATTAAATTCATTTATGAATACTCTTTTAACTCTTTCTTCAATCTGTCTCTAACGTGGTAAATAACTACTGTGGAATATTTCATGAAGAAAAAAATACCATTGAACTCCTCATAGGCAGGCAATGGCAGTAAGCAAATGTGCTAATTCTGCAACATGGGAGGAGATGTGGCCTGAAGGATAATTGAGGGTGTGTAATAACACTTTATTTTTTAGACTAAACCATGTATATGTGATCTTCCCCCACCTTTTGCTAAATGATAGCAAGAAGCTTATGGTGGTTCAGGACAAAACCTTGGGGCCATCCTTGAATCTGCCTCTTCTTCCATGCTCCCAGTTGGATTCATTCATCAGCACTCATCAGCTGTATCTAGAATTTCACCAATTCTCACCATTTATGCTGGCCCAAGCTCGGATTAGCTCTTACTCAGATGATTGCATGAGACTTCCAATTGCCCTCCTTGCTTTAGCACTGATCCCTTCAACCTATCTTTTGCACAGCAGCTGGAGTTATATTCTAAAATTCAGTCTCTACTCAACACCCTCCAGTGGCTTCCCAGCCTCTCTTATTGGAGAAGATTTCCTAACTATCCTACATAAAAGAACATCTCAGCACCTCCACCCCTGGGACTCTCTAAACCCCGCACCTCCTTTATTTTTCTCCACAACACCATTCACCAGCATTCATCCTATAATTTTGGGTGTTTGTTTGTGGGCTTAACCACCTAAATATAAGCCTCATCCAGAAAGGGCCAGTTTTTGCCAAGGTTACTGTTCTATTCCTGGCTCTTTGTTTCCTGGTTTAATTTTTTTTTTTTTTTTTCGTGTTTGGGGTCTATAGGTTCTGTGGTACTATCTACTGACTCCTTAGTGGGTGAAACAGAAATTTCACATTTATCTCTTTGTCTTCTCACTCTCTGTCACCATGATTCCAAATAAACTAATTAATTCTCCTTAAGATCCCACTTTATTTTCTAACTCCAATAAATGTAATTATCCGCTGCTGAATTGCTTGACACATGTAGAGGGTAAAAGCTTTCATTTTGCCGGCAATATAGTCTTTCACTCCCTCCCCAGTTAGGAAAAATAATAAAAGATATGTTACCCCAAAAGTATACTCCCTAAAACATACTGTTTTCTATCTGTTTCTATCTATTTATTTGCTTATATTTAAACATACAACGCTTTCTCTTGCTTTCTATTTTTCTGCAACTGCATTCAGTATTTAGCACTCAAAGTTTTCAGACTGAAACCCAGACCAGTCACATTGACATTTCTTGCAGTTTCTTGAGCACTTGAAGCTTGTTTGCCACCCCAGGTCTTTGTTCTCTGGGTTATTTTGTCTAATACTTTTTCAGACTGCCTCCTGGTGAGCAGGGGCCTTGGTTCTAATGTCTCCACCTTGAGGCAGATTTTACTGACCACCATATCTAAAATAGCCATATTCTTGACAATCACTCATTTTACCCACATAGCCTGCTTTATTTTTTTCTGTAAAGCAGCCAATGTTACCTTATAAATTTAGCTGTCATTTTGTACCCTCCAGTAGAATAAAGTTCCTTTGAATTGGTGACTTTATCTACTAATTTCTCCAGCTAGGACAGAGCTGCCTATGTGGCAGGGGTTCCATATGTGTTGAGAAAAAAAAAAAAAAGTGAATGAATGAATTCCTTTGTATAGACATTAAGCTGCTAAAAGGGGGTTATAAATCCCTTTAACCTCTTGTCACTAGCTGCTTTTGGAAATACCATTGTCAGGGAGAGGTTGTTGAGAGTTCTTTAACCTATGAGGCAATTTCTAGACATTTATTTTAAGTTGGGACGTTCTACTTAAGTAGCTAAATTGCAAATTAAAGAGGTTAACCAGTGACAGATCTAAATTCTTCATTATTGACAAAGCTACTTTGTTTTATCTTTTCTTTAAAGCTCAAGTGTTTTAAAAAATTAATATCAAAATGTAAAACAATATCCACATTATTTAAGTTAAAATGATATTAATTGCTATTTGACATGAAGCGCCATTGTATCATGAGATATTACGAAAGGTAACTCTGCAGTCCTCCTCTACCTCTGCCAGATGAGGAAGGACACTGATTGTGATGCTTCTAATGGCAATTTCATGTTGCCAACATAGACCTTGAAAGCTAGTTAATGTTGTTGGACTTGTCATGGAATTCCAGAAACAAACCATTGTGAATCAAACTATTAAATAGCCCAATTAAAGAAAAATAACAGTCATTCCATTATCTGCATCTATGTGTTATATGTATAACTATATCCATATTATTGAAATATATATATAGCTATATGCATATAGATACTCTCTGTATATGGAACTATACCCATATATATGTGTATGTATGTATATAACTACATCCATATTATGGAAGATCAGTCTTGCAGTTGATCAGGAAATTGCAAAATTCTGTGATCTAAGTTGGGCAGATATTTTGTGTAATCTTATTAATTCCATATCTATAGGAAGGCTGATAATGCAGGAGCACCCGACAACCTAAATGATGAGAAATAGCATTGTAAATGATTAAGATTGTTAAAACTGTGGAGATAGATATGTTATGGGTTTGGGTATGTGACATATGAGCAGGAGGGTATGAAGAGATGAGGAGGGAACCCGTGGTTCACTTTGGGTACAAGCTTCAGTTAAGCACTTAAATTAGAATAGTTTACTGAGTATTATATAGTCATTTAACCAGGTACCAGACAGAGAATTTAGTAACTGTATTGAATGCCAAGTTTAGATAAAGTAAATTAATATTTTTTTCTTATATCTCAATTCTTGACAAGTTGCTTCTTTCTAAGCATAAAGAAAATAAGTATAGCCTTTAAGGCCTTAATACATTTGGCTTTGGAGTAAAGGTTGACCACTCCTCAACCATGTACCCTGGTACCTCTCACCACACCCCAAAATACCTGCTGTGTTCCTAACTTCATTCATGCTATACCTCCCACCGAGAAAGCCCATCTCCTTCTTTCCCAGCTTTGTTTGGCTTCATTTTAGGAAACTGAAATAATACTGTTCTGAGTTTTCAAAACTATTTGACCACTCTCACTCATTCTGCAAGACCCAGCAAAAGTGCCACCTCCCCACGATACCACCCTGAGTTTCCAGGTAGCATAAGTGAGACCTCCTTCTGGGCCCTTGACATTGTACGGATGCATCTGCAGTGGCACAGATGAGATTCCTTCGTTTTCTCATTCCTTCTGTTTCTACCACTACCCCATAAGGTTTTGAGGTCATGCATGGATCATGTCTGTAACCCCAATAACAAATTGGAGTTTTCTTCCTCCTCTGAGACTGGGTAAACTTTACTGACTCCCATCCAACTTTGCATCCTTTGAGTCCAGGGTGCTCCCCAAAAGTCTTGAACATTACTCAAGAGTTTACTCCTATTCAGTCCCCAGTGTCTGCACTCCTCTTTCCATGTGGTTCAATAAAGCTTGGCCACCCAGACCCCCCATTTCATCCATCAGCCCAAAGATTTAATAAATCATTAATTATTAATAATACGTGATATTAATATTAAATAGTAAGAAATAATAAATTATTATTGATAAATATTAATAAATTCATCAAGTTCCAGAGGGCTTGAGGGGTTCTGAGGAGAGGATCACAAAACAATAGATCTCCTTCCACCAACTCTTTAGTCCACTGCCACACTCCCTCTGTCTTTATCTTCTCGTCTCCATTTCCCTCTCTCTCTCTCTCTCTTTTTGTTTCTAGTGACAGGGTCTCATTCTGTTGCCCAGACTAAAGAACAAGGGTGTGATCATAGCTTACTGCAGCCTCAGACTCCTGGGCTCAAGGGATCCTCCTGCTTCAGCCTCCTGAGTAGCTAGGACTACAGGCATGCACCACCATATTGTAGAGATGAAGTCTCACTCTATTGCCCAAGCTGGTCTCAAGCTCCACATCCCGCCCCATTCCCCTCTAGCTATAGCTAGATCCTCACCAGGGATCCCCAGAGCAGATCCCCCCAGACTTAGATGCCTTTTGATCTCAGCCTTTGCCTCCAGTAAGCCCATTCAGAAATATTTCCAACAAAGAAAACTCTCCCTTTAAGATAAACTCTCAGACTACTCAAAAAGAGAAGTTTTTTTAATCTCAGTTATACATTATATCCATCTTTGTCATGAGCATAGGATCAATAATTTTGTAGATGTTTAAAAAATAATTTTATTCACTGTAATTGTTCCAGTTATCTTGGTCCCTGATCAATTTCAGATAACTTTAGGAGCCTTCTATTTTAGTTATTCTTGGTTGTGATTTGAATGACTTAGTTGGTTTGTGAGCTATTTTAATTTTGCTTTTGTCCTTTACAGAATTCTCTTCAGGTCAGAAGAAGAAAAAAGATTATTTGAAAGTAACCTCTTACTTAGGAAATATTTCTGGAAAATAAGTGAAATTTTTTTTGAAAGCTGAAAATGACAAAATTCACCTTTCAGTTTTATTGTCAGGATCTTATACTAACCGAACTATGTAGTTGGAATGAATGAAAAAACAGAGCTCTCTGTAAGCTGGGGTATTTCTGACTACTGAAAATACTTTACATTTTAACAAGTGTCTGTGGATAGCATTTAAAAGAATATAAGCATAATGCCATGTTTCCTTGAATACTTGCATTGCAATCTCAAAAGCTATTTCCCTTAGAAATCTGAGAACAGTGATACATCTATTTGGTAAAGACTGTATTTTGTAAACCCCAAAGCACTAATAAATGAGTGTTTCTCTTTAATGAGAAGGTCCAATGTTTCATCATGGACAAATACCCACATTTTATTGAGTAGAGATGGCCTGTTATCCTCAGGGTTATCCCCTGACCATATCTGGACTATTTCATTACTCCTCTGCAGTGGAATTTGATCATAAAGTAAAAAGACATATTTTTGGCCTTTTAATTTACCCAGGATTTAAACATAGGTATGATACAGCGACAAGTTAATCAGAGATGTGTTTGGCCTTTTAAATCCCCTTCAAATCCTTGACACAGGGCCAGAAGCCAGTGCCTAAAAAGGAAGTCCACATGGGCAGCACCAACGCTGCCTGCTGAGCCCGGCACAACCTGCTTCTGCAAAGACTGTGTAAACGTACTTCATGGGCCTTTCTGTGCAGTAGAAGACAAGAGCATAAAGTACGTTAAGTGTGTTCACTCCATGTCTGGGAGGCAGCTGAGCCAAATAAAGTGAATTCCAAATTGGAAGTCAGAGACCTGAATTATAGTTCCAGTTATACTGTTTATTATCTGCATATCCTTAACCAAATCATTTCTGAGTTCTGGGTGTCCATTTCTTCATCTATAATTATGGATGATAGTATTTGCCCTGTAATTATACTGTCGATTCTCTAGGGATGGTTGATATCTTGTTCTTCCTTTCCATCACAATTGTGCCTGGCCCATTGCTCAACAAAGGCTTTTTGAGGAATTAAAATAGGTATGTTGTGGGGCATAAAATAAAATAATAAACAGAACAACCTCCAAATAAAATGTAGAATGATTAATGCAACTATAATTTTATTCTGTATACTGCGTTATTGAAGATGCATTGCTTATTCCACAATTTGCGCCAACACCAACGTGACATTGATGAGAAGCCTCCCTCTATGTTGGGCTTAGTTATTCTATACCTCCCATCACAGATCTCCATGGACAGAGAATTTTGCATTTACCTATTTCATTCTGTTATGTCAGCCACAGCTGGGGTGACCACTTGTCCCAGTTTGCTGGAGACCTCTGCAATTTACCTCTGTTGCTGTGACACAGTTATGATTACTCTCTTTCACTAACGAACATGCCTTAGTCTGGATGATAAATTGTATGATCACCTTATTTAAGTATTAAAAAATGATGTTCCATTAAATTGTTTTATGGAGGAGGGACAAAACATAAACCCAGAGAAATGTATGTAGCTCTTTAAGGTTTTAAGCCCTATTCTTTAAACCAGACATGATGTTAATATGGCAGATTTCTTTCATATCATTTGGGTAACTCGTCTGTGTATGCCTAACCAGCAATGCTTACAAAATTAGGACATGTCTCTCAAGGCCTTAGTTCACTGACTTAAAACTGCTTTTTGCTTGCCTGCAGGAAACCCAGCCTTCTATTAGTTTTTGCATCTGAAGAACTTCTGGAAATTTCCAGAATCTTCATTCATTAATTCAATAAATACTCACAGCACTAGCACAGACAGCATGCCATGAGCTCCTGGGTGTGCAGTGGTGAACAAGAATGGACAGCCTTGGCCCTCATGGAGCTCGTCATCTAAAGAGAGAAACAGGTGTTAGTAATTTTACAAACGAAAAGCTGCTCTTCTGATGCTGCACCTAGCCCATAATGCTTCAAAGGAAAGGTGGCAGCGTAGGGTGCTCTGCGAGCCCCTGATAGTGGGATTTGAGCTTGTCAAGAATGCTCAGGGAAAGTTTTTTGTGGAAGCTCCCATTAAGCTGAGACCTGAAAGAGAAATCAAAGTTACTTGGGTGAGGTGGGATGAGCAGAGACAGAAGACAGATTGTGCCAAGGCCCTGCAGTACAAGGGCGCACAGGCACAGGATGGGGAGGAGATAGAAAAGACAGAAATTGCACAAACACGTAACGCAGCAAGAAGAGAAAGCCTCGTGGAAAATGGGGCTGCAGAGGTAGCTCAAGAGGTAGGGAAGAAATTCAAGTGTTTTAATCCAGTGTTGATACAATCAGAATTGTGCCTAGAAAATATTAGCTCAACTCAGTTGTGAAGAATAGACTGAGGGGCAGGAGAACCAGAGTAGGTGAGGTGACAAGGAAGGAAGCAAAATTTGGTGAGTTTGTGGTTTGAGATGCCTGATCTCTTGAACAACCTAAGTGGGTAGTTGTACAGTGATAACTACAGCATGTGAAAGAGATGTGAGAGAGACATGGCATTGCATGGAATGAAGATTTTGCCAATAGTTTAAGCTGAGAAAGAGTACTGTGGAAGAACTTGTTAAAAGGTGGACAAATGAAAAGAACCCTGAAAAGAAGAGGTAAGGGGGAATTTAGGGAATGATGATGTCCTGAAGCCAGGGAAAGAGTGAATTATAAGACGGGAGTGGCTAACAGTATCAAATACCACAGATTAAGTGAGTAAAAACTGAAAAGTACCCATTAAGTTTATCAACTATGAAGTTACTGATTACCTTGGAAATATCAGCTTCAGTGAAGAACTGTTAAGAATTAAAGGCATACTTAGATTGGTTAAGAGCAAATGATTGGGTACACACTACATATTTTAAGTAGTTAGAACATAAAAGGACAGAGGGCACTATAACTAGAGGAGGAAATAGGCTATGTACAAGAATTTTTGTCAATGATTTGGTTTGGTTTGTTTTGAGAAGGCTTGTATTCAGTGGTGTTCTGATAAACCAGGCCTCCAGAGGAGAAATAAAAGCTCTAATTTGTAGCTACTACAGATGACCATGGCGTAAACACCCTCACCATGGCTGGGGTAAAACTATCAAGGCAGAATGCAGATTTGAGAAGATACCCAGAATTAGCTATCAGCTTCAGTGCACCACCGCATAGAAACCAATGGGATGGGAGAGGTTGATGGTTTGTGTGAGAAGTGGGATCGCTAATAAAACAGATAAAGAGGGAAGAAGGTAGGATCCAGAGTAAAGGTGGGAAGATTAGTTTTGGATAAGAGAAAAGATATCTTTTCTAATGAATTGGGTGGCAAAGAGTTACACTGGAATCAGCTCATCGGGAGGAAAGGAAATTGAATGAATTCTCACTTCATGGGCTATTTTACCTGTAAATTAGGACAGGAGGGCTTTGCTGAGAGTGAGGAAGTGGCAGTTGGCACATAATGTTGGATTGGAAGAAACAGTTAAAGCTTGAAAGAAAAAGAGATGTGGAAGGAAATGTGGACAGTGTTGAAGTCCTAGTGATGTTGAAGACCAGGGCTTTGTACCCGTACCATTCTGCAGAGTCACATGAAGTTATCTGGAATGTAGCAACCCGGGTATATGAAAACAGACGTAAAATAATTGCATTGATCTTGGGTTGAAATTTTGGAGGAAAATGTGGAGGGATGACAAGAATTCAAGCGAGAAGTGGGTACTGACAGGAGGATGTTTGAAATGATAGGCTATGATGTCTAGGTAAAAGAGAGAAGAAAGAGAGCCAAGGGGAGCTTTTAGAAGTAAAGAAAGTGATACTTTTAAGAGATTTGAGATCTGAATGAGGCTGTGGAACAGATGGAGTGGAAATACGAAGTCGGTAGAGTTGAAAAGTTGGATGGTGCCGTTTAGAGAATAACTTCAGAGAAAGAACAAGTATAGAGGTGGCCAAGTTTGGGGTGGCCATGATTGTGACTGGCTGAAGCAGAGTGGAGGCTCAAAAAGACTATCATAGTGAATAATAGGGAACTGTAAAGCTGGTGCTGGATGATAACTGAAAAGGGCATTGACGTCATCCAGGATCTTGGGTTGGATATTAAGACTTTAAGCCATGTACCAAAGCCTTTGTTAAATGTAGAAGGCTTCACTGGGACCCCAACCATTCACAGGGAGAAATGATGTTTACAGCTAAACAGTGTGACTCTCAAAAGAGTCATTTTTCTTTTTTTTTGCAAGAGAGTGAATAAATAATATTTTTAATTTGGTAATAAAGAAAGCCAACCAGTGGGTCCTAAAATAGTGAGGATTAAAGAAAAGAAGAGGAAGAGGGGAAGGGAGAAGAAGGGAAAGGAAAGAAGAACCTAAACTTTAAAAAACGTTACTAGATGAAGGGAGGAGCCCAAACATAGCTCAAGTGGAGCAGGGATGTAGCTCTCTGAAAAAATGAGAATGTACAGGAGGGTTCATTTGGTTTATTTGTATGTGTATTTGGTTGTTTGGCTTGGTTTAGATTTGTTATTAATAGTCTGTTTTGATTTTAACCATCCATATGGCATATTTGAAGAATACTTGTTCCAGAAGATAGTTATGAGATGACATATTAAGAGACGATAATTGAAATGTCCTCAATGCCAGTAAAACTAATGTTCTCAATCACTTCCAGTTTTTTTTTTTTTTTTTGCATGAACAAAGTTATCATGAGTACATTTTCCAAAAAAGAAAAAGTTCAAATGTAAGATCTGAATTGAATTGTGAGCTTCTTAAACAGTCTTGTTGGATTCGTGTCTCAACTGCAAAAGATTGAGATCCCGAATAAGGCTTATGGGTGTATTAAAACTGTACACTTGCAGAGGAAGTAGCCTTGAAAGCAACCAGTTTTGTGGACTTAATTATGCTGGTACCAGGAAAGCATAGAATAGATCCTCTTGATAACAAGAGCCATGCTGGACATTAACAGTATCACAGAGAGGAGTGGGGACCATTTCTTTGGAATAAAGTTGAAATATGTTTCTTAATAGACAACTCTCTCAGCATTATAAAATCCTGATATAGAGCTCAAGAAAAGACACACACACACACACAAGATTTTTATCGTTGTTACGTTACTAAATAACAACTAATGTGGTTATTGGTTGTTATCAGTTGGTTAGGGACTGGAGTTAATGTTTCTTCAGATCTGAGCAATAACCTATGTGGTAAAGTCTTAGTGTGGCAAAAATTTGGAATCTGAGGGGTGTGCTTACATAATTTGCTTTCTTAAGGTATGGTTTACTCTTTTATGCTACCTGTCATTTCTGCTTTAAACAATGTCCAGGAAATTCAGCCATACACAACAAAGAACCAGATCCCTCATTTCAGTTCTATCCTTCTTCCTCTAGAATTGACATTCGTTGAGGCCATGTCCTCAAAGTGACGTGTCCTGCTCTAGCTAAATGGCAGTAATCTGTGTTTTATTCCAGTAGTTTATCAAGCTATGTCATTTTATGCCATGTCAGTTTATAGAGAGTGGCACAAGATACAACAGGATAGGGAAGTTGAGTTTTCTATTTGTCTACTTCATTGAAAACACGATTTTGTTTACTGACAAGTAAATGGTATAGGGATAAGCAAAGAGTAGCAATTACCATATTATTTTGCCAGAATCCTCATGTTACCGTTTCAAAAAATGCCAAGAAAGATGACAGTGCATGTTATAACATCCCTTACAAATAATAGCAAAGCTTTAATCGACTGATGTACAGACACACTCAGGATTGAAATGCAACCTACTAGGGTGAAACATGACAAGCAGCTCATTGAACACTGCGCAGAAGGTAAATGAAGTGTATATTTTCCAATCACAACTGGAATTTTAAGTGAGTGAAATGGAATAAACTCAGTTTGGAATTTGAAATAAATTCACTGTGGAATGTGTCTTAGAGACCAAGGTTTACACTAGTGCTATACAAACCCCTCAGCATGAAACATGACACAAGATGAAATTTTCCTGGCATCTTAGAGTCAGATACAGACTTCTGAAGGACCAGGGCACAGACATTTCATCAAGAGCTGTTTGTTTCTAATTGCAAAAGAAAATACAGCTGTTTATGTAATACTCTGGGTCAGGAGTAATATTCCACCTGGTACATGGAGTTGTGTACACTTTCTCGAGGTGGTATTTCTATCTGAGTGTTACCAATAAAACATTTTCATCAAATGTCCATTCTTCTTTTTCTTGAAGTCTGCTTGCATAGTTCTAAGGAGTGTCATAGATCACACATAGTGACACTGATGAGTAGCAATGAGAAGTGGTTGGAGAAAACACAAGGAAAGAATCAACTTGAAGTCATTCAGAAGTAACCACTAGTAGCAGTTTAACTACCCGGTTGCCAAAGCTTTTTGCTTAAATTACAGATTCTCATGAGCTAGTAACTTTGCAGGGGAGTCGGAAAGAGGAACAGGTATTATACGCAAGGCCGAAGAAGCAGTTGGTAACTACCAATACATCTTTTTCTAAGGTAAGTTTAAGGTCACAAAAAGACTTACTGTACAGAGTTGAAAAACTTACATATTTCTTAGAAGCTTAGCAGTTATGAGTTTAGTTGGGGCTCCAGGAAGATGCAAGATGCTAGACTCCAAAAAATAAGAGAGAGGTCCTGTGTAGAATAACACCCTACAGATTAAAGGAGGACTCAAGACTAGAGGAAAAATTTAACAAAATACAGGGCTATGAGTTAGGCGTTCCTAGTTAGAGTCTGAGTGTCTGGAAATGATGAAATGGGTGAGCTCCGGGAATGCAGGATGTGTGAAATTGGTAATCAGATCTACTGGTTTGCTTGTTCTGAGTGTATCATTAGGGTTTTTGGAGACTGGTGTTAGTGGTGTCGGCAGAATTAGTCCCCTGCACTTGTGTTATACTTTTCCACTTTAAACAGTAGCTTGTAGTTATTTAGCCCTCATTTGCATTCAGGTAAAACCAAGATAGCACCCTATAATCCAGCAAATATTTGTTTTCCTGGCAGTCTTACAGTTTCAGGGGGCAGTTCTACAGTGTTTACAGCTTCCACTGCTTGGAGCTTTCTGTATATTTATCCTTGGATTAGACTCAAAGTAAGCTGATTTTATCAAGCCACTGGGTAATTCTGACCATTTCATCTGGCGATTTTAGTACAGTATTGTTGCAACTGACCTGTATACGTAAGGAATTACTGGGTCATCAGCTCAGGGGAACGTCTTTTGATTATGAACACACTTTCAGCATGTGTCCACTGAAGGTAAGGGGCAAAGAAGAATTGCATGATCTACTTGAATGCCTGTTTTAAATAGATAAAAGTGGGATTTCGGGCACGGCCTGGTTATATCTTCTTAAACATAAGTAGTAGAGCCGCGACTCAGCGTAGCAACAAGAGATCTTTTGAACAACTGAACATTCAGATGGAGCCACTGTGTCCTTCAAACCACATCCTTCCTGCTGCCTGTGGGAAAGGGGTGATATTTGTGTTGAGCTCTGAGCACATGCAGAACAGATCTGTGTGTATTTCCACAAATAAAAGGACATTGTGTGTGTGTTTGGCACCTGGGATGGCAAAAGCAGTTAATTGCTTCCGAAAGCTTTGTTCTAACCCAGGGATCGGCAGGATTTTTAAGCACTGAACTAGGAACTGGGCACTAAAAATACCCATGCAGAAGACCTATGATAGCAGTGAGTTTGCAGAGCAGAGCTAAGACTTGCAAACTGTGTCATATCTGTGTCTTTACTTACTATGGTTGAGAGGAAAGGATTTAACATGCCGCGTTTCCAGGCTGCAAACTAATGAGCCGTGTTGTAGTAACGTTTTGAGATATTGTATGATATTGTATGTTGTGTTGTTTCTATGAGGATAATTCAGAATATATAGAATATAAGCATATGTTTTTCTAAAGCAAAAAACTTTGCCCTAGTTTCTTTGCTTATACTGTTCACATCATGTTCGTATAGTCACTGACAGTTAATGATTTTTGTCATTTAGTCAGAAATAAAGTAGTTCTCTGCCTCTGAACCCCCCCAAAAAAACCTAAATTAAAATAAAATATATATTAAAATTAAACTTGGATTATGAAAATGAAACAGTAATGCTCTCATGCCATTCAACCCCAGACTTTTCATATTACAGATAGTTAGCAAGTGAACAGAAAGCTAAGCATGAACATATTTTAAATGCTCCTGATATTTTCAAATGCTTAATCCTAAGCCTTAAAGGGTTTTATCTATAGAGATTTGGGGAATTTCAGTGTTTCTTTCTCTTATTTTAGATTTTCTGTTAAGTTATTCTCCAGAGTTTTTATATAAAATGCATGAATAAGCATGATTTAACGAGAAGACAAAGTCTTAAGTACTGTAATTCATGTTGGAAATCATGAGTATTGTTAAGTCTTCGTACTTATAATCAAAGTGGTCATCTCCTGAATATAATGAAAATAAGAGCAAGTGATAGCCCCTTATCTTTATTTCAATATGCTTTTTCTGCATGAGTTTGAACAACTCAGACAAGGAAATATCTTGTTGAAGGGTGAGATGCATTTTTAAATTTATTTTTGCTTAATTTGCACTCAACTGAAATTGATTTGAGAACATATATTTAAGCAAAGATCTTCACAAATTATTATAGTATGAGAATTGTATATTGTGACATGTTTAATAATCATGATTTTATTCCAGTGATCCAATAAAAGGGAGTGCTCAATCGAAGGATCGGAAATGTATCAAAAAGCCCAAACTCTGCACAGTACCGTGATTCCTAATTCTCAAAAAAATGCAATGGGTTTTAGTTTCTAAAAGTGATACAATACAAGAGTACAGAGTCTCTTTCTAATTCTGTGAGTGAAATTCTCTTTAGAGGGAATGCTGAATAAAAAAGATGAGATCAGGGAAAGAGGTGAAAGAAATGTTCTTCTCCAGTTCACCTTACATTAGGAGTCAACTTTTACCCCAGCTCAGGCAAAGGTACTTATGTGAGAATCCCGGTACTTCAGGATCAAGAGAACAAAAAACAAGTAAATGATAGGCATGGTATTAAATCTTAGCTATGGCATTTCTATTGAGCAACCGTTAATGTTTTGGAAGGTTCTAAATCATAATAAAGAGTGTGTATCTCATGCAAGATATAAATGCATTTCGTTAACAGGGAGAACAAAGTTTAGAGTTGAAAGTAAATCAAAGTAGGAGTTTGTATTTTAATGAAGTACAGAAAAGCCGCCCTCCTAAAAAACTGAAAAGGACTGAAAAATGTCCTTTACATATGTCAGTACAAATGAAGAACATGTATTGAATTAATTCCTATGCTGAAAATTCATCATGCAATAGCCAATAGGTATTATCTTTCTACAGTACGAGAAGTACAAAAGAAGTCTTTACTATATAATCTGGTTCAGATTATATGCACTCAAGTGTATCATAGGCACTCGTGAAACAATTGGAGGAAAATACAAACAAAACAAAACAACGTAATAGTGTGGCATGAAAAAATAAATTTTGCAGCAGGTGAGAGAGGGAAATCAGAACTGATGGGAGATTTGCAGGACAGTGAAGTATTTTTTAAGATGCACCTTAAAAAGGGGTGAAATGTGTCCCTTCAACAAAAGGCTTTCCAGACCATGAAATCCTAGAAGAAAATGAAAAATCATTAATTTGCCAATTCACATTCAGCTTTTGGTTCATGGGACAAGCATTTAGATACAACGCAACCTATTTGATCTTCTCCTGCATAAATCATTCCGTTCCTTTAATGTTCCAGCCAAAGCCTGTGAAGCAATGTAACTGCTTGATTTTGTCAGGCGATTTATAAAAATGTAGTCACCTGGAAAATGCTAAAAGGATTGACTGAAACCAATTTTCACTCTTGTGAAATGTGTCTTTGTTTCAGTCAGGTTGACTCAATAGCTAACAAAACAGAGAGAACCTGACAGACATGTTTCTCAGTGCCCGTTGGCCTTATGTGCCTACCCACTCACATAGACCTAGTTAGTTGCATGAACAGATATTATTGCTGTCTCCTCCCCACAAATATTATTTTTGCTACCTCAAAAAGACTTTCCTCTTGCAATTTAACAGTAAAAGGACACAAATAACAAAATCTTAAGACTTAAGTTCTAGTCTGAATGTCATTGCCTATAGGATTTGTGACTTTGGTTTTTATTTGACATCTCAGTCTTGGTTTTTCTTCGTTGCATTATTACTCATTCAGCACTCTGAGCAATACAAATGCATTTTCTGCAGTGCAAATGTATTGGAATTAACCATCTTCATTATGTTAAATATTAAGTAGAACTTTGTACAAATAATGCATTTCATTTAGAACTGAGTTAACATATTCAAGAGTGGCATTGAATTCAGAAACTGAATTCTTTCTGTCCTGGACGAGCTATGCATTTATTGTTAAGAACATTCATAAACATGATTGTACCTTATTGAATCTCCTATTTCTTTTAACTTATTTTTTTCATTGTTAGCACATTCCAGGGTAGATATGAACATGTATCAACTACGGAATATAAAAAATTAAAAGGGAAATAAAGATCAAGCTAGAAGTGGTTGATTATGTCATCACTGTACTAATTCATTTTCCTTAAAGTACAAAAATTCCATGTTGATGCATATATTGTACCCAGATTAGCACTTGGAGTCAATAGAGATTTTTGAATTTTCTCAGTATCCTCTGCTTTCTATCTCTCATTTCACTTCTGTAAGGTGAGAAATACTGTTGAGTTGGAATGTCCATAATATCTAAACTGGCTTTCATGAAGAAGAGGTAACTATGTCCATTTATTTAGCTATACACCAGGCACTAGCACTCAATTAATTACTTGCCAGAAATGCTAAATACATGAGACAATTCTGTTCAATAAGGATAAAACAGTGCCTAAGTAATTTCTATAGATATTCTAAGGATAAAATAAGGAAAAAAATAAATGCATTCTAAACTGTAATTAATTATGGCTTTAATTTTTAAATGCTAATGTTTTGTCAATATTTTTCTTTGAAAGGTCAACAATGTATGTTATCTTAATAGAGATCATATGAACTGAATTATATTTTGCCTCATTTTGGACTGATGTTTCAACTTCGTCTTTCAAAATAAATAATGGGTCAATAAGCGTTGCCAAATTCAATACTTAGACAAATGTTTATTAAGCTCCCATATGGCTATTACTAAAATATACTACTACAAATACCTGTAATAATTGCTGCCATATATGGAACAATTCCTGTATACCAGATGCTGCTTAGTACTTCATATGTTCCATCTCACCACACTGATCATTTGGAGGATGTATGGTGATTAAATATAATCCCCATCATCTGGGGCAAAGTGTATGAGGTATGCGTAGAATGAGAGTAGGAGTTGCTGTGGGTCAACGTGACTGGCCAGGGCTAATACGTTTTAAGGCCCTCCTCTTCTCACCATTTAGCCTCGTGGGATTCTAGAACTTAAAGATGAGGCCTCAGAGTATAGACCAGTAGAAGTTTGCATCCTGGCTG